GGGGGGGCTGGAATCAGGAATCAATAGAAAGTCAGGGACTAGAGAAACAGGTGAAAATATTTTGGGGAAGAAAGGGATGCTACACTCTTTGGCTGAGCTACATCCTCCTGCCTGGATTTATGGCAAAGAAGGGGAAAAACCTGTGAAATTTGCCTTCCCCCTCACCTTTCTACTACAGTGTGTAAATATGACCTGCTTTTATTTTGCACTGAAAAAATTATGAGATTTTGGAGCACCTGCCAGTCCTGGGACATCACCAAATCTCTACTCTAATAATATATGCAAGCGTAATTCTGGGATGTAGGTACACGGGTTGAAGGAAGAAGCTCAGCAGAATTCGGCACTCCTGTATAGCCTTGGCTGTGCAAATTGTGGTGGATCTCTTACATCTTTAACCTGGTGGACTAAAGGTGTATTGATGAGGAATCCCTTCCTGCCACCCGTGCTTAGGCTAGTAGTTGATAACTGATTATATTACTAAAACCTGCAGGGTAAGCTTGTATGAACAGCTGGTACATCTCAGCTATGTACCTTGCAGTGTTTCACACCCCAGGCTTACACTATTAATTGTACAGTAAGTGCAGACTAAACAGTATAGCACAATTCTGACCAGTTTAGTTGGGGGGAAAATACCTTTCAGTTCATGCAGTCGATCTGTCCCTTTTGCAAAAAGAGCTTGCACTGAGAAATTCTTTGGGGTATTGTGTGGGATGCAAGCAAACACAAAGGTCTCAGTCACCTGCTGGTAGACAACCCTCCTTTCTCAGTTAGAAAATCATGCCTAAGGATGTCACTGATAGATAGTTGATGGGGACAGAGATAGGGATGATAACCTACAATGAAGTGGATCTGATTAAAAAAAAAAAAAAAAAATTAAAAAGCCATGTGAAGTCAAAGGCATTAATAGCTAGACAGTCTCTTTAGGCAGACCTGAATTAGAGATGGATTAAGCTATGTGTAACACCTGATGGCAAGAAAGTGACATTTCTTCTCTATTCTTGCTTTCCTTAGGGAATGTATGAATGGGGAAGTGGAGTTTTTAACTCAGGTTTGGCTTTCCCCTCAGTGGCAAACTGTGGTGTTTTCTCGATGAGTCCACTGGGCAGTGGCAATTTCGTAGTATTTTCCCAGGTCAAGCCAAGGAATCCCCAGGTGCATCGTGCTCACTTAGCATGCCACCCGTGGCCTGGGCAATCTGCATGGGGATGTGGACATTTTAGATAGGACTGAAGTCCAAGTCAGCAGTTAACTGTAAAACATCCATATATCCACCCGTGCCTACTAAAGTCCTAGGGCAGCATGGAATTTGGCTCAGCCTGTGTACAGAAGGCAACAGAATGTGATTTTGATGCCAGTGGTGAAATTCTTACTGACATCAGCAGGGGAATGATTTGCTCTTCTCTGTGACTGCAGTCAGAAATGAATCTCTGATTGGCAGCCTCCAAGGAGCTGTGTTTTCTCAAACATTGCACAGAAAGGAAATATTATGTATAACTGAGTTTTAATTGTTTCTTGAGTTAAATTCAGCATGAATAGGTTACACAGTCAGTTCAGAGAAATGCTATCATTTCAGTTCCATTAGAGTGGAATTTTTGCTTGCCTTGTGGCGCAAACTTTCCTGAAAGAAAGTTTCTTAAAGAAAGACCTCAGTAATTAGTTCTCTGGTATTAAGGAGGGGCATAAACCTCTAAGAATTTAGTAACTATTTAAAGGAAACACTTTCCATTAAGGAAAAGCTGGAAGATTATTATGCTAATAACAGTCTGGATGGTGCCGTTCCATATAGAATTCCTGTAGGTATTAATGGAAGTTTTGTGCTAAATCAGCATTAGTTTTAGGTAGTGGATTGTAGAAAAGGATATGCTACCCAGCAGGATCTTAATCCTTCTGCATTTACTTAGGCAAACTTTGTCTTTGAAATGCTTTTGAAATCTGTCCCAATTTTCAGCAGGAGTCATGCCTGAATAATATTACGGGATCGGGCTTCAAATGTAAGGGCAACAGAATTTAAATATATTAAGGCAGATCTTCTCTTAATCCTGCAATGTAGCATGTGGGTTAGAGGAGGACGAAGCTGTAGCTTTAGCTCGTTACTTTTTGTCTTAGCCACTGCGGACTGATTTCTCCACATTTTCTTGTGCTGTTTGGTTTTCAGGGACAGCTCTGTTGCTTAGACCGGGCTGCTGCAAGGATGGGGCCCCTGGAAGCAGTAGGTGAAGGAAACCAGACGGACGAAATGAAAATGGAGCTGTTCACCAAGCTGTACTTGCCGAGATACACCACACCGCTCAATGAATTGGCTCTGGACCCTAAACCAGAACTGAAGGACAGCACAACGCTAGTTGAAGTGCAGATAATCCTCATCTTTGCTTACTGCTCCATCATCCTGCTGGGGGTGATCGGAAACTCCCTCGTGATCCATGTGATCATCAAGTTCAAAAGCATGCGCACAGTGACCAACTTCTTCATTGCCAACCTGGCTGTGGCTGACCTGCTGGTGAATACGTTGTGCCTGCCCTTCACTTTGGTTTACACGCTGTTGGGTGAATGGAAACTGGGCCCGGTCTTGTGCCACCTGGTGCCTTATGCCCAGGCTCTTGCTGTGCATGTGTCTACCGTTACTTTGACTGTGATCGCTTTGGATCGGCATCGCTGCATTGTCTACCACCTGGAAAGCAAAATCTCGAAGCGCATCAGCTTCCTCATTATAGGAGTTGCCTGGGCAATCAGTGCCCTGTTGGCAAGTCCTCTGGCCATCTTCCGTGAATACTCCCTGATTGAGATCATTCCTGACTTCAAGATTGTGGTCTGCTCTGAGAAGTGGCCAGGGGAGGGGCAGCTCAACTATGGCACCATCTACAGCATCTCCATGCTCCTGATCCAATACGTGCTGCCGCTGGCCGTCATCTCCTATGCCTACACCCGTATTTGGACCAAGCTCAAGAACCATGTTAGTCCTGGGGCGGGGAATGACCACTACCACCATCGGCGGCAGAAAACCACCAAGATGCTGGTGTGTGTGGTTGTGGTCTTTGCTGTCAGCTGGCTGCCATTTCACACCTTCCAGCTAGTCAGTGATATTGACAGTCAGGTGTTAGACCTGAAAGAGTACAAACTGATCTACACAGTGTTTCATGTCATTGCCATGTGCTCAACGTTTGCTAACCCCCTTCTCTATGGCTGGATGAATAACAACTACAGGACGGCCTTCCTCACGGCCTTCCAGTGCGAACAGCGCCTGGACTCCATCCACCCTGAAGTATCAGCAGCTTTCAAAGCCAGGAAGAAACTAGAAGCAAAAAGGATTCAGTTCCCTGGAGACTCTTTCACACAACCTACCAATGTCTAAGATGTCTGACTTTAAAGAAGAAATGAATATGTCGTGGACAAAGGGATAAATCCATTTTGACACATGCATTTTTAATGCATAGTTTTTTTCCTGAATGGGGAAAGAAAAGTAGCAGGCAAGTCAAAGCAAGTGGTATGATTTGAGGGGAGTTGATTGCCATCAAGAGTATGTAACTATACAACTGCAAGGAAATAAAAAGGAGAGACCTTGTTTATGGCTGTCTCTAACAGGGAAAGAGACTCTCCCATCTCTCTCATCTCTTTTTGACAAGTCTAAATGACAAAGGCAGAGTTTGCTGGTTTTGCTATAGGAAGGCAAAAGGCTGGTTTGTAGCACAGGAATATTGATGGTGGGAGCAGGTAATTTTTATATTGGATACGGAGAGCAGAGGTCTGCCAGGAGAATGAAGCCTGTCTGGGGGGAATGGGCTGTGCTGGTTAAAGCTCAAACTTTTCAGACCCCTTCTCTCCCACAGGCATCTTTTGCGAAGATAAGGGAATTAAGAAGAGAAATATGTTACTGTTTTTTGACTTGCACTGAAGTACTTCAAACCAGAGCTTTTGAAATGGATTAAGGGAAAAAAAAGGAAAGAGAAAAGGAAAAAAAAAACCCCAACACCCCACCCAAACAACAGATTCAATGTGAAGAAAGGTCAAGTTTCTACACAAAATGAAATGTGGGTTTTGGTCAACCAAATGGGGTAAAAAGTCATTCCGTAAGAATTGGCTGTGGTTCTGCTCGTGAGAAAATCACAAGCCTGTGACCTGATCAGTCATTCCCTGCAGATCCCTGGCTTTCATTCTGCGCTGGGAGCAGCTCACAAACGCAATGCTTTAAAGTGGCATTTGGGGGCAGGGGATGCAGGCTCAGGTCTTCTGTGAGCACTTCATAAACTGCCAATATTTTAATTTTCAGGAACTGCTTAAATGTCTAATGTGTTATTAACTCCACAGGCTTTGAATTGTTGCTGCTTTCTCGCTGGATAATAAAACAGCAGATAATTCTGATCCTCTGGAAAGGCTGCTAGATGGTAATGTGCTTTTCCTTATTGTGGTTTTATGTCACACACTCATCTCGTCTTAGAGCTTTTTCCATCTTTAGCCTTTGTAAAAATTAAGAACATCTGAATGGCTGTAACCTAATAAAAGTATGCTAGGTTTATGTGATAACTTATCAGTTATTCTGCATGCTGTAGTTAATAGTTAAATTCCTTTTTTGCTCAGGTATAAAATTTTAATGTTTACTGTGTTGTACACAGCAATATTCAACTCTTCTGTTTCTTTATTTAGCCTCTTTGAACTCATTAAAGAGACGAAAAAAATGTCAACCCATGTTTATTCCAAGCTGCCCTGTTGCTTATCTAGAATAAAAATAAGCGTGATACTTTCACTTAGAGTCTCTTTCCACAGCTGCATTTCAGCTGCCTCATTTTTTTCTCTCCATTTTTCATTGTTCCTAAATTCAGTGTGTTCTCTCTTACAAATTAAAACCTAACAAAACTCCGGTACTGAAGTATTAGCAATGTAATGAATGGTATCAGATCTTTATCAAGTGGAGAAATTCATCTTTGTGTATACAGTATTGGGCACCACCCTTTAAATATCCATGAAATCATTTGGACCTCGATTTTCATGAACAGAGAGGGGAGGTCTAGAGAATTAGCTAGTGTTTACTCAAGCAGGAAAAAGTATCCATCATTCTTAAACAGTTTTACAACAATAGATTAATTCTCAACCATGTTGAGAACATGATATTGTCCACAAGTTATTTTTGTCTGAGTATTAATAATATCCAAAATGTAAGCTCAAAACTGTTATGGGTGAGGAAGGATTACAGAAGTGTGCAATTATTATGGACATCAATCACATGTATCACTTACAGTTGACTCTGAACCCGTCATCAAAAGTATTATTGCCACAAATAGCATCCTTTATTTAAAAAGCAAATGGTTTAAAAGTTCTGTTTCAACTCTTCTAAGCCTGTTAGAGTGTGATATATAGACAGTTTTGGAGTAACCATGACAGTGGGTGCTAAAGCTACAATTGCCAGGCTAATTCTCCGTAATTTTAAGTCTGCTTTACTTCATCCTGTATAAAAGTGATTAATTACAAATTATCTTTCGGTCTGTTTCATGGTATCTTTATTTTACGGCTTCCCAAGCTTCCTCTGCAGCCATCAAGTTGAGCCAAAGTTGGTGCACTAATTTATTGCATTGCTTTCACGTGGAGGTGGTGCCTGGGTCAGTGCCTGCTTTAGGGTCACAAACCTCCGCACAGTGTCCCACTGCAGGGTGTGGATTTTCCCGTGGGCACTTGAAGATGGGACGTGGAAGAGCCAGCATGCACAGCCTGTCACATAGCTTAGTCGCTCCTCAGGACTCCGGTCCCGCACAAACACGGCTATGTGCTTTAGTACCCCTTCATGTTGTAGGAAAATTAGGCATTTTCTCACCAAAAGCAATGAGGTAGCAACATCCCTTAGAGTTGCCCCAAATCCCAGCTGTCAAAGGATGTGGAAACTTCAGGTTTGTCCCCATTTTCCCCTAAAGGAAAGTGAACATATAAGCAGGCTCTAACCACTGAGGAGTCTGCAGGGGAGCCTCTGCTTTGCCTGAAATAGGAACTGGAATCCAGGTCTCCCCATTCACCTGTTAGTGCTTTAATTAGTTTTTTTAAAAGCATTATATTCTTTTCCTGTTGAACAAGTACAAGTTTTATACAAAGCCAAAGAACACCAGCAGGACCGCTCATTGAAGAATTTGCAAGTAGGTGGTGGGGCACCCAAAATGAAATGTCATTGCTGATTCAGGGCAAGTGTTTGAACCATGGTGCCTCAGGTGTCAGGAGAGTGACCTAGCCAGCACACTGCAGTCTCTCCTGAGACAGCAACATATGTCTTCTTAGAGCTGTTCTATTGTATATGAAATAATTAAACATTGAATATCGTGATTTTATGGGCAAGTGGATATGACCTTTGGACGGCACTCAGGTTCCAGGCCAAGGATATCAAAACAGATATAGACAGAATTTAATTTGCCCCCCCCCCTCCCCCCCCCGGCTTCTTCATGAGTACTTCTACTACAAAGATACTGCATTACAGGCAGGAGGAGAGCAAGGAGAACAGCACCATGCAAATCTCTGCGTGGGTCTTCCTTTGGGCTGTCATTTGGGGTTGGCTTATAAAAGGGAGAGCTGTCCACCACATGGATCCCATCAGATGGGATCTAGGATCTTAGCTGGTCAGCGCTTAGTTCTGGGCCTCCCTGGAAGAACACATTTTGATGCCTTGCAAATTTTACTGGCAAAAATGTGTCTCCAGGCTTAGGCAGCAGCAGAGTACCGAACAGTACATCATTAGTTATGTGCAGCTGCACCCATGCATTCTCTCAGCACCGGCTGGGCAAGAGCCAGCTCAATCCTGGAGGCAGAAGAGCTGCTCTCGTGCACTCTCCCGAGGCTTTCATGCTTTTGCCTCAGTGGAGGACATAGCAGTTTGGGACCAGCACTGCAGGCACCGCGCCGTGCTGCTTCCAGATGAGTGTTAAAAGTCACGTTGCCTGTTCAGGGCTACAGCCATTGGACTACAAGCGGAGGAGTAATCCTGAGTAAGCTTGCCAGGGTCTTACCGGGAGGCTGGTGAAGCTGGGTTTCTGGTACGTGGGGACAGTGCTGAACCCTCTCGCCTAGCACTATGAGTAAATAATCTTCACTGAGAATTGTGGTCTCCACGTAGAACAGCAGACTGAGCAGCAAGTATATCATTGTGAAGCTGAGAAAAAAATAGATTTGAGGGCATAAGCAATTAAAATAGAAGGATTAAGCCTGGACAACAAATAGTATACATATCTATTTATATATAAACTGTACGGCAGAGCTGCGCAAAAGCTGTTTGGTAGGGTTAAGTTGGAAATAATTGTCTGCTGCCCCACAGTTGGTATAACCATGTCTTGTGTAAAGTGTGTAATGGACATACATACATTGCGAAAATATTAATAAGTTAGATAACACTAAGAGTAATAACTGAATGGAAAATATTATCTGCATTTTATCTGTCAGACCACAAAAGAACCACTGAATTCACAGATTAGTATAATCTGTTTCCTTGCTTCATAGTTTCTAAAATCCTTCAGGGATTTTTCTTATATTAATCCAGATAATGACCTTAAGGGATGAATTTTGTCTTTGGATCCCTGAGTTATTTACCCGGTACTGTCATTATAAATGCCACTCCACAATAAGGGAGCTACTTTGTGCCAAATTACAGGTTCTTTGCCCTAAGAAGGTAGGAGATGTACATAATCTATGCAAAGTTAGCGTTGCTGAAGAGCTGTGGTTTTAACACTGCAGTTTAAATGCTTATTTATGCAATTGATAGTAATTTTCATCTCTCGTCTTCATTTTTAAAAAAAGATTAAATTGCGTATTATTTTAAAAGAAAATTAATACAAAGGTAGTAAGGAAATTTGAAGGTGCTGAAACTGGAGAAGTAAGAAAGTCAGAGGATGAGCAGCTACTTCAAGTAGCAAGAAAGAGTGCACAAGAACAGGGGCAGTGAGGATGTAACTGATTTTTAGACTTTCCTTCTTCCCTTAGTCTGAGAGAAACGTGTTAAAATGAAACCAGGGCAAATGAAGACACAGATCAATTGTATGCACAAAGGACAGTGTTGCCCGGGGAAACTGAGGAACTTTGAGGAGAATTTGCTGTGATCATTTGAGCCTTAAAATTCACATCATGCTCTCAAGCAAATAAACCTGTGTCTGTACATTATTTCACCTAAATGCAATATAGGTAAACAGCTCTGTACTGATAATGTATCAGAAGCAACAGGTATCTTATTAATTCTAGCCAGTACATGGGATGAATAATGCATACATACTCCTCATAAACTCATTTCAGATGGGATAGATGAAAAAATTGGTGTTTGCGTTAAAATCTTTCCCCTCTCAGACTTCACTGAGCTCCTTTGGAAGGAAGAGAGCTTCAAGCTACAAAACTTAAAGACTGCGGAATTACATATCTGATGATGGAGGCACAATTTAGCTTGAAAAAATTATTATAATTTTTGTTTTGCTGATACTGTGTAAGAGAAACGGGCTGCGATTTGCCTTTTGGACCTGGAGCTGAATTTGCACAAGTGGAGTTTATATGAAACAGACTTTTATTTGTATACTTCACAACTCTCATAATCTACTAACCCTGCTATACAGAATATTTTCAACAGCAGAATCTATGCTTATTCATCCATGGGGCCAAACTATATCTATCCCTTCAAGGTTGCACGGAAAAATAGAAGTCTAGGGCCATACT